ATAATGCCAATTAAAATATATATATATATATATATATATATATATATTTCAATTGTTTTATTTAGCTCAATTATAATGCCATTGATATCTGTTCGATCATAATGTTATCATAATGTTTTTGATATTATATATATAATTGAAATAAAAGAATTTATCTGTGTAAGTGAAGTACAGGACATCCCAAAAGTTACTCGAGATCAGGAATTGTGTTCCTGAGGCTATTTGAAGTAACTGTTTCCTTAGCGAAAATGCAATCCGAGGCTTCGTTCACGAGTTATTAACGAAAAACACTGACCAATAACTGGCGAGATCAGCTGACGCGTGGCGCCCGAGCCAATGAGCGGAACTGGGCTTCGCGACAGCTGACCTCGCCGCCTCGTGTCAGCTGAGCTAGCCTCTCATTGGTCAGTGTTTTTTGCTAATAGCTTGCAAACGAAGCCGCGGTTTGCATTTTCGCTAAGGAAAAAGTTGTTTCAAATGACCTAAGGAACCTATCATTTTCCGATTTTGAGTAACTTTTGGGACACCCGTATAACGCATTAGATACTAAGAAATCTTCCCAAAGAATTTCAGCAAATTTATGATTGAGAGATGTTTCTTTGATTTCGTTAACAGGAATTGGTCTATTTTTTGAGGGCTTAATGTAATCTCGCTGAGAGTTTGTGGTAAACTTCCGTTCTACCGTATAAACTGTTATCATTAAAGTGTCTTTAAACTGTATATCCATATACGTCATTCGAATGCATCATTCGTGTTTATTTATCATGTATTTTAATGTTTAAGTAATATATGAAAAATAGAATAATGTGATTCAAATCGTTGAAAAAAATGTTTTCCGTGTGCACATGAACAAACGAGACGAATCAAATATAATTTAGCGTTATTATCAAACAAGATATCAATAACATTCTAACTAGATTGAGGATCTTATGCATTTATGACAAAATTGGATAGTTATAATTTAAAATATTATAAAGATTAAAGCAATTAATAAATGTCAATCTATTGTTTTTGATCTGTTAAAAGGTTAACATGCTATTTAGTCTCGATTTTTTACAATTCATGCGGACGATTTCTATTTTGTATAAAAATCCGCAGTCTACTAATAACAAATGGTGCAGTCTACTAATAACAAATCGTGAAAAATATTTGCTTAAATGAATTGATGCACTTGATGCACTGTACTTATTCGATGCTTCAAGCTTGACGATTTAATTTACATTTAAAAAATCAATAGTTTGTTATTACCCATTGACATTTTACTGAAAATGTAACGACAACATGCTATGAATGGTTGATCAGATCGAATCGAAAATTGACTCTTGTCACTTAGTCGAACAAAAAAAACATTTTAATTGCTTAAGAATTATAATTAAATTGTGATTACTAATTGTAATTAAATAATTTCTTTTTGTACATGAAAATTACCAACCAGCTTGATCACCTCCACAAACTTTTTCCCAAGTAGCATCAAAGCACGAGTTTCTGCTACCGTCTGACGTGTCAGGCCTCGTTGCAGCTTTCTGGAGCATCGGACGCCGTGTATGACGGTCAACTTCGTCTTGCTTACGTTCTCCTCCGTCACAGGAACTGTAATATTCGTTCGTCGATCAGCTTCCGTGACATACATGATTAATAGACTGCAGTTCTTTATGCGAAATAAAAAATATCTCTATCGATTACAAAAGTGTAACCTAAACGTAACCCAAAAAGAAAAAAAAAATCAGTGGAAAGGAAAAATGCAATTCGAATAAAATTAGTAGCAGAGAGCACGATATAGGAGAAATCAGAAGAAATGAAGAAAAAGAACAAATCAGAAGCAAAATAAAGAAAATAGGAAGAAGAGGAAAATACAAAGAATGAAAGAAATAAGAAAAACAAAATAACGACTCGAAAAAAATTGTTAAAAAATGTGTAAAATAAAACTACTTTTACGTTATCGCTATATGCCATTGTATATTGCAACAACAAAATTTTAATTAACAGTTATGCCGCATATCAATCACCTGTATCCTTCCTTACTGCAAATTCATAATACGTGTACTATTAAATTCATCAAATGCATCAAATGCAAAATACTTTAAATAGTTTTAAAATCATTAAAGAAAGCGGGGTGTATTTTTGTTAAATTTCTGTATCTTGCAATCTTAGTGGACAATTTTCATTTTGCATAAAAATCCGCAGTCTACTAACAATATCTCAAGAGTCCACGAAACAATGTCTCATAGACCATCAGAAATCATTATGTCTCCCTCAAAAAAAAAAAAGAAAGAAAAACACTTACAATCCATCTCGTCGACAGAATCGACAGGCAGATAATGGTCGATGCTTTTCTCCAGATGGGTGAGAGCATCGTTCAATCTATCAGCCGTGGCGTTCGCGACCATAGATCCTATCTGCGTTACGCTTTCGGCACGCGTCAGAACAGGCTTGATTTTGCTGGTCATGTAGTCCTTCGCGCTGCTGTACATCTTAAAGAGACGCCAAATTAATTGATCTTCGAACGCGAAACTACGGACAACTGTTTGGTCGTCGAGAAACGAGTGATCGACGATCTTTCGTTTCCACGCAGCGCTCTAATTTCCTGCAGCTTGCACAAGCGGATCGAAATGCGCCCCGTAAAAATTGTTTTCAATTCTTCGAGGTCCTCTGCATTGTGGAGACAGTCGATGATCGCCTTCGCAAGTCGCTCGTTTCTCAGCATCCGACGATACACGCATGAAAGAACTTACTTGTCGAGGGGGCAGATGCACCGCCGGCACCTTGTCTTCGACCACGTCGATGCCTTTGCAGAGCAAATGGTCGATCGTCGTGATTGGGCCAACGAAAACGTTGATAGCTGGTGTCGCTATCGCCGTCGCCATCACGAACGATCGTTCGGCAGTGCCCAAACCCCAGTTGATCAACGAATTCGAACGCTAAATCGGATTAGAAACGGTGCAAGTGAATTTCTCGCGGGAACTCGGGCGCCGATGGAATCCTATTATTCACAGCCGACCACGCGAGTGCAAGAAAAGCCACGAGTCTACCGATAAATCGTCGCAGGTAAAACACCCACTGAGAGGAGCTTTCCGAACCCGAATCTCCATTTTTCAATCGTTGCACGCGCGAACATATGGAAATTTCGAAACAACGATGGATCGAGAATTATTTGTTGCGCGAGGAAAATTGATTTTCTCAAAAACAAATCGAAAACAACTCGACCAGCATATTGTCGGTTTGCAATGGAAGCTGCTGAAATTGAAGGGGAACCTATCAACGCGGGTATCACTCTAACTCGAAGTGCGACGACAGAAACGAAAGCTTCGCATCTGCGAGCTAACACAATTGGCGCAAGGCGATAAATCTGTCGTTAACTATTTTCGCGAGCCGTGCAGAGTGGTCCGCTGGAAACGGTCCTCCTCAAAATCTGACTTTCGGTAAACGTTGCGAAAAGATGCGACGACAAGGCTTTCCAGCTTTGGATGTAAAAGCGTTTTGCGAGAGTTGAAATCAGCCAGCGAAAGGTCAGGGAAAGCGACGCTATTTGCGGAAACGTCGTGCCATTCAAACGTTACGCATAGATCTTACCTTTATCCTGGTGTACACGTTGCCGGCAATCTGTTTGCCATCTTCTACGATGGGCAGCTTCAGTATTCGGCTGATGGACTCGACGTGCGGCAAATCGGAGTGCCGCCGCTTCAGAGTCGGCGCCGCCATTTGCGAAGTCCTCGCTGCGAAAGGTTCAACCTGTGCAACAAAGTCTTCTTATTTCACGCATTTCGAATGTAACAATCCTACTTTCATTCGTACTAAGTGCACAATCGTAGCTTTCTCCAGGGGAACCTATTGTCGAAGAATGTTTGAACAGTCTTCTTAATCGTAAGTTTTCTTTTTGTGTAAGCTTTGCCTATTATGTCACCGAGATGTGAGGGATGATCTGCTCATTTCAGAATTCAAAATAATTATTTTATATAATATAATTATTATTATTTATTATATACATTATATAAATATTATAATTGTATTATATTATATATTATGTATTATTAATTATATATATATAATATAATAATTATATTGTATATAATTATTATACAAATATATAATTAATAATAATTTACATTTAACAATTTCTAATTTATGGTTATATAGATAATTTGTAATTATAGTTTAGTTTATAGCTATACTTATCGTTATAATTTAATTTGTAGTTATAGTTATAGCTTAGTTTATAGTTATAGTTATAGTTCTAATTTATAGTTATAGTTATAGCATAATTTAAATGTTATTTAGGTTCTGCAAGTCATATGTGTGCTACCCTGTATACACATACAAATTATTTTCAATTGTAAAAAATATTTATTACAATCGGTATTTTGAATGATTTTAGAGAATCTATGGATTAGATGAATTATCTATGGATCGGCTTAAACGACCGGTGCAAATGCACTCTAGTTAAATGCGCAAGTCGCGTGGCAGGCGTGGCGCGGCCTAGAGATATTAATCTGTCGATGCGAAGACAGCATTAAATCGTACCTAGTTTTAATCGTAAATTCTCGAGAGAATGATGTAACAGCGGGGAGCAGGAATTGCGAACGTGAAACGACGTGAACTGCGATGGAAATTTCTAACGCCAGGGAGATAATTATCCGATTAGACTCAGCAGACGGAGTTATTAATACAGCATTATTGACAACGATTTCAATATCCCATTAATCAAATGTCTGCTCCGATACTGCGACAGATACTGTACGGAAAGATAAATTGCTATTGCAGTTGAACAACGGGGCTTGCGGCTATAATACTGAGCAACTAAATGTATTGTATAATCTGACAATTATAGTAATAATACTCATTAAAATACAATAATATTTATTGTATAATCTGATGACTGTAATACTGAGTAATGAACTTTTTGGTATAATCTGATAACTATAATTCTTGAACAATGAAATTTATTGTATAATCTGATAACTATAATTCTTGAACGATGAAATTTATTGTATAATCTGATAACTATAATTCTTGAAGAATAAAATTTATTGTATAATCTGATAACTATAATTCTTGAAGAATAAAATTTATTTTATAATCTGACGACTATAATACTGAGCAACAAAATGTATTGTATAATCCGACAATTACAATGCTGAGCAATGTATTTATTATATAATCTGATGACTGTATTACTATATAATGTATTTATTGTATAATCGAATGACTATAATCCTTGGGCAACGAAATTTATTGTATAATCTGACGACTATAATATTTGACAATTAAATGTACACATACAATCTGACAATGACAATACAGAGCAATAAAAGTTATATAATCTGATGATTATAATACTGTACAATGAAATACAGGGTATCCCAAAAGTTACTCGAAATCAGGAAATGAGAGATTCCTGAAGTCATTTGAAGTAACTTTTTCCTTGGCGAAAATACAATCCGCAGCATCGTTCACGAGTTATTAACAAAAAACACTGACCAATAACTGGCGAGATCAGCTGACGCGTGGCGCCCGAGCCAATGAGCGGAACTGGGCTTCGCGACAGCTGACCTCGCCGCCTCGCGCCAGCCGATCTCGGCTCTCATTGGTCACCGATTTTCGTTAATAACTCGCAAACGAAGCCGCGGATTGCATTTTCGCTAAGGAAAAAGTTGCTCCAAATAACCTCAGATACCTCCTATCTCCCGATTTCGAGTAACTTTTGAGACATCTTGTATACACTAATTTTACAACCATAATACCTTTCAATGAAATTGAATTGAATTGTTAATTTGTGTGACGTCTATAATATAGAACAACGAAATATATTGTATAATTTGACGACAACGATATTATGCAACAAAATGTACACATTCTAGCTAAGTATGCTAAAGCTATACTATACTAATTTGACGATCATAATACTATGCAATTAAATGCAAACATAGAATCTGCACTGAGAAACGAAATGTTGCTCTTGTTGTGTGCATTTTACTACAACTATTATTACTCGCTGATTTCTGACGCACAATTGTTTATCACACGATTTCCATGACAATCGCGATAGCTATGTTGGCTTGTAATGCGTTCAATTATTCAAACGTTCGATAATTTGTATCGGCGATGTACGTTATTTTTAGCTCGACTATTACATCGGCCGATAACTAATTAGAAGCGATAGCGTTCACTTGACTATTTCTATTTTCCGTTAGGACGATAGCAAATGTATTATCGATTGGACGTCGCAAATTCTAATTTATCAGGAGGACGCGAACCGTAATGTAGCGAATGTTCGAGTTCACGGTTCGAGAAGTTTGAAACACTCGAGCGAATGCTTGTCGATCGAACGGATCGAAGCGAGACAGGGCATAACTAATTAACAAGATGAGTAAGTGAAACTTTAATCACTGCTGGAGAGAGATAAAACTATGTTATATTTACCGTGTTGAACATTTAATCGAGGAGAGCTAACATGAAATAAATTCTACTTTTATGTATGAAATATTTATTGTATTTAGTGTCGCGAAATTGATTTTTCAACGAATATAATTCTTGCAATAGGTCAGCACATCTTTGAGATGAAAATTAAAAATGTTAATTAAACGCGGCAAATAATAAAATTGTTAACTGTAAGAAGTTTTGCTGTCCTAATTACTAGCATTGCTTGCCCTAATTATATATACTACTCTAAATACGATGATATATTTTTACAACATTATAATAATTTAAATTTGCATGAATAATTTGTATAAGAGTAAAATGCCGTCGCACTCGACTTTTAACGTAGTTTCGAAATTAGCAATTTTGTATGCGTTAATGATATGTTAACTTTATAGCTGAAGCATAAGAAATTCTTGAAGTTGAGACATTTTGGTTTTTAAATGAAACTATTAATAAACCTGTTAATGATGCAACAAAAACAAGGTTTCAATGTATGTATCAGGCACACAAACGAATAAAAACCGTTTATTAGTTATCTTAACGCAATATTATTGTCATCAACAAGATAAAAATTCACAAGTGTCGTAACAAGTAGATCTGCATTTTTCAAAACAAAATTCAATATTACTGGTAATGAAATGATGACTTATAACCACCCTGATTTCGCATATACAATAATCTGTTTCATTTTCAACAAAATCCTCGAACAAATGAATAATTTAATTATCGTACACTATACATGGAAGAACAATTTTATATATTCATATTCATTTCTATCGAACAAGCTAAG